TATGTTAAAAGCGGAATCTGTCTTAAGATTGTTGTCCAAAATATGGTCTAAGTATACCATATACCATAGTATTACGTATTTAAATATTATGCAACAATATAATAATTATATACATAATTATTAGTATAAAACAATAATGAGTATATATATATATATAATTTTTTATAAAATATAGTTATATATAAGAAATAAAATAAAACTATACAAAAATAAAAGAATCTGATTATAAGTTGAGGCTAGAATTTGATTATATATCCTTAAGACAGATTCGCCCGTTATGGTACTAACAGACTCAGTGACGTCTATCTCTCAAGATACAACGACTTTTTCTTTCTTCGGTAGTAGCACTGTAAACCGAAGAAATAGGCGACCCAACTCGGTGTAGTACTCTCTGACTGAAGTAGACTCAAACTCACACTTGAGCTCACAGACTAAGACTCGAACTCACGGACTAAGGTCTAATTATACAAGAAGAGAAAAGAGGAGAGAATTCAGAATAAGAGAAGAAATATTCTGAATTGGAATGAATTACAAATGATCCTAAGGGGGGTTTATAAAGGAAGCAAGGTGCCTTTTCGGATGGGTGCAATCATGGGTCATAATGATTCAGAAAAACTCAAAGATGGTTTATTTAAAATTGGTTTTCATTTGAAAGGGTGTGACTAGTCCGAACCAGTGCGTCAAAGGGTTGCACCTGGTTCGAACTAGTGTTTCAATTTGAATTTAAAATAAACCACCTTTTAGTTTTTTCTGAACCATTATGACCTATGGTTGCACCCATCCGAAAAGGCGCCTTGCTGCCTATATAATCCCCTATTGGGAAATTCCCAGAATGCATAATATACCTTTATATGCTAAAGGATTGGACAGTAGGGGATTTTAAATAACTTCTATATGGTTTAATGGATACTTTGATTTATTTAATTGTTTTAACAATTGAAATAAGTGTTTAAATGATTTTAATCATGACTAGGAGGATGTGTATAATTTAATTGAGATGTAGGTTAATTACTTGTGATGTAAGTTAACTATATACTATTTAAATTGTTATTATTGCTAAAATTTATGCAAGAAATATTTGTATGATTTATACCATGCTATTTCTATATAATTTTATGTATAATTTCATATATTGCATCAATTGTTGGATTATGGATTAACATCATTGTCAGGATATGGGGGTATATAATGGATGGATTAACTAATAAGTTAAGTCCTATTTATTCATGTCAAGCCACAAAACCAGTTCGATGACATGTCATTGAAAGAATATGTTGGATAGTTTACTTTTATGTTCTGGATAGGATTTATATATATGGATATATGCCATGATATGAGTTTGAGTCTTAGGATCAGTGGTTAGGGAGTATATATTACCTGTGATGTATAATTGGATATAGTGGATAGTTGTGTACCCTGGTAAATCATGGTACTCATGTCCACTGTATTTGTTTTTTGCATGTTGCTTACTACTCAAGTTGAGGCCGCCCTATAGTCCAGTGGCAGTCCTTTAGTGTATATCTATATATATACAGATTATGTAATTATTGTTGAGTTGAATAGGATGTATACATGTATCGGGTCTCTATTCGGAATGTAGTAGAGTAGAACTTATTCGTGGGCCTGACCCACTATTATTTTTCAGGTGTTCATCAGTTCCAGATTTAGAGTTTGTTCGTTCTGAGCAGAAACAGTCTTCATCACTCATCTACGTAGGATTCTTCTTTGCATTTCAGTCATTGGATTTGTTTTACTTCATTTATTTCAGTTGGGATTAGTAGGGGTCCACATTATAGATTCCCGTGTTGTAATCAAGATGGTTACTGGTATCAGATGTTTTGGATTTATTAATGGAGGATTAATTCTATTGGATTATTATTGGAGGATTTATTATTTAGTTTCTTTTCAGCTTATTTATTTGAAGATACCAAGAGGGGGGTGAATTGGTATCTTATGAGATTTCTGTAACTTTTTATCTTAAAGCACAGTGATGGAAACTCAAATGAAATGCTAAGATTGTCTCACACCAGATATACGAGGTAAAACCCCCAGTGTGGGGGAAACGTCCTTGGGGCTGTGAGACCCAACTCGTAAACCACTATGAATGAAAAAGAGTACACCAATTCTCAATCTCATTTACCAAACTCACATATAAGTCACTCCTGCACTCTCCCGTGTCCACAACACCCTGTGTTAGGACCACTCACCAATATCACAACAATCACTCAAACACTCCCCCTGTTCACAACAACCCAATGCTTAAACCAAGAGCTCACCAAATTACTCAACAAGAAAATATAATACAATGATGGTGTTCTCTCAAGTTTTACAAGATAAAAGTTAAATAGACATAAAACTTGAAAGATAGATTTCACAGCCCTTACATGATAAGCAATGCACACCGCTTCTGGATTTGATCATCTGTAAATTAGTCCAGTAAATAATCCTTCATGATTTGTCAAGACAAACACCCTTGTATTTTCTCCCAAACTCACTGTTGCTCACTATTGAACCCACTAAGTTTATCAGCTTCAAAGCTTCAACCGAAGATGGTGCTCGTTTAAACGGAGATGGACTGAAACTCGCTTGAAACTGCTTCTTTGGAGTGAACTGCACCGGACCAAAAGTAGGAACTTTATGAAGTTCACTGAAACAATTTAGACTCTGCCACTTGCTGGGTATGACTAAAACTCACTGGTAGTTGGAGCTTATGATTTGTTCACCGGAACTTGACTACAAACTTAGAGATTTGCTAGACTGGTACGCTATTATCTGGGCTCGCTGGACTAAGTGTGTCTATCACCGGAATGATGGAAACGGTTCTGAATGTCACCAGAATGAGGTCTTCATGTTGATAGAGATTTCGGCTCACTGGTGTGGACGTTGTAGCTCTCTAGCGTCGTCACTGTGGCTCTCCGGTGATGGGTTCTTCAATGGAGCTTCGGTCAAAATGGGTCTTCACTGTTGCTCCGATTTAGACTACAATCAGGCTCACTCTTTTGATGTTCATCTTCAAGCTCTTTGAAATAGTCTATATTCAGTTTTTGAGAGCTCACTCTAACAGATGCACACCTGATCTGTATATATATCTCTGAACTATGAAGCCGTTAGAGAGAGAAAGCACCAGCTTCTTACAGCCACACAAAAGCTATCCAAGCAATGAATTAATCACAGCCCTTAACTTCAAATGAAAGCTAACCAGATAACTTATGGTCGTTGGATCACTCTAGTTAGCAGATCATATACTCTTATATAATAAGCTTCATTTAAGCACAGCTAGCAAACATTCCATGTCTTGGATATTGAAGTATGTGGAATTAATGGACATAGAAGACACTTGGTTATCCTTGTAATACATCTGCATACACGCACATGGACTAAAAGAAATATTGAAACAATTGTTAATGCACACCTGATAATGACATATAAATATAACTAAAATAATACCCAGCAATACTTAAGATAAAAATGAGATGTCCAGTAAAATTGATTTTACATTAAATGAGTAAACATGATAGACCTATGGATCAACAATCTCCCCCTTTTGCCTTTTAATGTCAAAAATCAATATACAATGCATATAAGAAATATAAGGCAAATAGTGACCAATTATTACTCTAATACACTCCACACTAACTCTAGCTGCCATATTTCAGGCACTCTCGGTCTATTTTCTCCCCCTTTTTGACCAAAAAAGTCAAAAGGCAAGGAATAAACCATGAACATTTTTACTAGAGATAGGGGGCATGAATGCCCAATGCAGCTCGTAGGGTGGCAAACCTAGCTGCAGGTAATGGTTTGGTCATAATATCCGCCAATTGGACATTAGTTATGACATACGCCATCTTAATATATCCTTTTTGCATATTATCTTGTAAGAAATGATATTTGATGTCAATATGCTTGTTGCGACAGTGAAGTGTTTGATTTTTGCTAATGGCAATAGCACTTTAATTGTCACACAAGATGGTGGTAGGATTGGTAAAAGTTATTCCTAAATCAGTCAAGGTGGACCTCATCCACAGTGCTTGGGAGTATACCTGAGCAGCTGAGATAAACTCAGCTTCTGAAGTAGATAGAGCAATACTATCTTGTTTCTTGCTTAACCAAGAAGCCAAATTGTTTCCCAACAAATAACAACACCCAGAAGTGCTTTTCCTATCAGGTAATGACCCTCCCCAGTCGGCATCAGAATAAGCAAGAATATCAAGGTTTGGTGAAGCTGTATAATGCAGTCCATAATTAAGTGTCCCTTTGATATATCGCATTATTCTTTTAGCAGCAACTAAATGAGATGGTTTAGGAGCACTTTGAAATCTAGCAACTAAACCAACAACATGCATGATATCAAGTCTAAAAGCAGTTAAGTACAACAAGCTACCTATGATAGACCTATAAAGAGTAGAATTCACTGTTTCACTAGTGCATTCTGTGGTTAATTTAGTGGATGTGCACATAGGTGTAGTCACGGGTTTACAATCATGCATATTAAATTTTATTAGGAGTTCCTTAACATACTTTTCTTGGGAAATGAATATGCCTTTCTTAGATTGACAGATTTGAAGGCCTAAAAAATACTTTAGGGTGCCGAGCATAAACATTTCAAACTTGGTTTTCATAAGATCAGCAAAGTGTGTAGTTAAGCTAGTATTTGAGCCACAAAACATGATATCATCAACATAAATCTGTAAAATAAGAAAGTTTGAGTTGAAAAGTTTTACATATAGTGTGCGATCTACTTTACCTCTCGTGAACCCTTGTTCAATGAGAAATGAGTGAAGCTTATCATACCAGGCTCGAGGTGCTTGCTTGAGACCATAAAGAGCTTTCCTAAGTTTGTAGACATATTGTGGATGCACTGAATTTTCAAATCTTTCAGGCTGCTCAATGTACACTTCTTCATGAAGATCACCATTTAAGAAAGCTGATTTTACATCCATCTGATAGACCATGACTTTTTTGTAGCAAGCAAATGAGAGAAGCATTCTAATGGATTCTAGTCATGCCACTAGAGCAAAAGTTTCATCATAATCAAGTCCAGCTATTTGAGCAAAATCTTTGCAAACTAATCTTACTTTGTTTTTAGTCACAATGCCCTTCTCATCTAACTTGTTTCTAAAGATCCATTTTGAGCCAATAACATTCTTGTGATTTGGTCTAGGAATAAGGATCCAAGTGTCATTTTTCTCAATCTGTTCTAGCTCTTCTTTCATAGCAATGATCCAGTCTTTTTCATCCTTGGCGTCTTGGTAGTGTTTCGGCTCAATAGAGGACAACATAGCTATATGACTATACTCATCTATCTCAAGTATTTCAACGACATTCTTCTTAGATCTGGTCATGACACTTGTATCTTTGTCACCAATGATGTTGTGTTGTTGCATATACTTTTGAAGAGTGGGATACAAAGTTTCTCTTTTATCTTGCTTAATCTCTGTTGAAGTGCTAACACCATAATTTTCCAAACTAGGTTACTTTGCTATAGTGAAGATCTTATCGTCTTCATCTACTTTGACATCACCCCCTTCATCAATCTTTACATGAATTGATTCCACCATCTTCTTTGTTCTCAAGTTGTAGCATCTGTAAGTTTTGTTCTTTGTGGAATAACCTAGAAAAATTTCTTCATCTGACTTGGCATTAAATTTTCCAAGATTGTCAAGATGATTGAGAATGTAGCACTTGCTTCCAAAGACTTTGAAGTAATGAACTATTGCAGGCCTTCCATACCACAACTCAAAGGGAGTTTTTGTAGATTTTGGTCTCAAAAGTACTATGTTGATGATATAAACAGATGTGTTTGTAGCTTCAGCCCAGAAGCCTTTTGAAAGTCCTCTTTCCAACATTAAAGTCTTGCCCATTTCTTGAACGGTCCTGTTCTTTCTTTCAATAACCCCATTTTGTTGTGGAGTAGCAACTGCTGAGAATTCTTTCTTTATGCCTTTTGAATCACAAAAAGCCTCAAACTCATTCATTGTGAATTCAGTGCCAAAGTCTGATCTTAGTCTTTTGACCCTGCAATTTTTCTCATTTTCTACAATGTTGACAAACTTGATAAAATGGTTAATAGCATTAGATTTTTCTTTTAGAAAATATATCCATGTCATTCTACTAAAGTCATCAATAAGAAGCATGAAATATCTACTTCCACCTATGCTTGTGGTCCCAGTAAGCCCACATAAATCTATATGTACAATCTCAAGTGGTTGTGAAGTATTAATTTCTTTAGATTTAAATGAAACTTTAGTTTGTTTACCAAATTGACATGTTTTGCATACATGATTTTCATCAAATTTTAACTCAGGTAAGCCTCTAGCAGCTTTATACTTGACTATATTCATGATATTCTTAGCATGCACATAACCAAGCCTTTTATACCATAAAATGCCATCTTCAGATTTAGACAAATTGCACACATTTAAAGATGTGTCCTCAGCAATGGTGTAAACATTTGTAGGGGATTTACTTGCAGAAAATAAAGCTTTTCCAGATTGTTCATCAATGACTTTACAGTCATTCTTATCAAAGCATACCATACATCCAGTGTCACACAATTGACTAACATTTAGCAAATTATGTTTAAGGCCCTCAACATATAAAACATCTTTAATTTTAGGGATGTCAACAGTTTTAGATATGATTCATTTTCCCACAATTTTGGCCTTTTTGTTATTTCCAAAGACAACTGTGCCACCATCATACTTTTCAATTTTTTCAAATTTTGACATGTCACCTGTCATGTGTCTAGAGCATCCACTATCAACATACCATTTATTGCTAATATTGCATGTTTTAAAAGCAGTGTAAATTAGAAGACTAACTGCATTTTATTTCTTAGGTATCCACATCATTCTAGTTTTCACAAATGACTTGTTTATCTTTGATACACTATCATGCTTCAATTCAGATTTCTTTACATATGCAAGTTTAGCTTTAGAATTTCTATTTGCATATGATGCAAAATCTAAGTGATCATGTTTTAAATTGAAGTAAGTGGACTGAAGTAATTCGTACTTGGGTCTACATGCACTGACTGTAATAGGATAAGCAGCATAAATTTTACCACTTTCAGATTTAACAAAGATAGAATGTGATGAGGTTTTTTTTACTTTTTCATGTGAATTTAGATCATAGCCAATACCTATCCTTCCAATTTGCTTAGTTGAGTTAGTCCAAATTTCAACTATCTTTTAGGACCTTTCTTCTAATGCCATAGCCAATTCCTCTTTACATCTTTTAGTGCTCCATTTTGTATCACTTATCCTGTCTTTGGTACACTGACACACAATTAAGGAAATGGAACAGAAAAGAGAGAGTTTTACCTTAATGTGTTTCATGAGTAGATCTTTAGTTGTTTCTAACTTATGGCTGATCAGCTTCAATTCTTTCTTCTGTGAATTACATTTCCTTGCAAGCCTTTCACATTCAGCAAGTGATCGGTTGATCAATTAAACATCAACCTTCGCAATAGCACGAATCATTGTAAAATAGGGCTATTAGTCGAGTAGGTCGAACCACTGGGACTGCGCTAGTCTTAAGGCAACCTAAGTATCTAAAGTCATTTTAGAGTGATGAGGGGTTTATAAAGGGTTTGTGTGTTTGTCACTAAACTAGGAATTCAAAGATACATTAACAATAAAATTGTAAGAAATTTAGAAAGATAGATCTAGGTAGAGAAGACTAAGGAGATGAATTCACACTACACCCTAAGTACATGCTAGATTAAGTCTAAATTGGGGATAAACACTATAGAAGTAATGATCAAGAATTATGTAGCAACACATAGTTGCTTCATAACCAATAAAAAGTTCATGAGATTAAAACAAGAATGGTCTATCAAAAGACAACACATTTGGACTACCTAGACTAGGGTGTAGTATCAAATACATTAACTTAAGCAAAAGACCATCAAGCATTCAATCAAATGATGAAGCACATGAAGGTAAAAATCAAGCATAGTCCATCAAAGGAGGTACCTAAGCAATTGAATATCAAGTTTCAAAATCAACATGCCTTGAAAACCATTCATAGTTAATATCTTCATTGTCACTATGAAAATAAAAGCAATAAGACTAATGTAAGAATCATCAAGACAAGCTAAAGAACTCACATCAATCATTTAAACATGAATATTCATTACAAGAAGTAATAATCTCTTAAACTATGAAAAGACCAAAGTTTATACATTATAATCCCCAAAATAGAACCTAATCTAGAACATGAACAAAAGGGGAGGCTTCATCACCTCCCTAGATGGAGTTTAGTTACCCATGAGTGAGCTAGAAGAAGGAAGAAGCATGGATGGACAAGCCATTTTCGAGCTCCCTTCTTTAGGCTTCAAGAACACCTTCCTTGCTCTCTTCTCTCTCCTCTAATCTTGTAGAATGAAGGATAATGATTTTGTGTGGTCCTCTCTCTCTCTTATCAAGCTCAAGTCAAGGCTCTCTCTCCTCCAAGGAACACCTCCAACCACTTCATAAAGAAGGAAGATGGCATTGAGGAAACCAATGTGCAAGTGGCTAAAATTGAGCCATTTCCGAGTGCAATTTGCCAGAATTTTGAGCACTCGAAGGGTGGTCTCGAGCACTCTAAATTAGTGTAATGAGCAACATGCATTTCTTGCCCATCTCTGACCCACTGTGGAAGAATGACCATAACTTTGTGCTCCAAACTCCGAATGATGATCTGTTTGAAGATTTGGAGAGCTGATTCAGAGCTTTAAAAACTTCATGTTTTGATGAAGACCCAATTCTCAAGTCTGATTGGTCGAAAATGGGGAGAAAGGCAGTACTTCAGTGCTGCCAGGCAGTTCTGCGCATCTCTGTTAAGAAGATCATAACTCTCTGCTCCGAACTCCGAATGACAAACCGCTTAAAGATTTGGAAAGATGATTCAGAGCTCTAAATCTTTCATGTTATGATGGAAGTCCAGTTCTTGAGTTTTCTAGGTCGAAAATGGCAACAAAAGTCAGGTTCTACTGTTGCCAGAATTTCAGAATTGGCACCCTTTTTGTTCAAAATTCCACAAGGCATCATTTTTGCTTCCTTTTTGCACTTTAACCTGAAAATGTACAAAAACATGCAAATGGAGTTAATCTACATAAAATAATCAATTAATGGACTTTGTTAATGTAATTTAGGGCGCTTGAATATACAGTATTCAGCGCTCATCAGCAAGGACTTCATCATGATCATCTTTTTCATCTTCATTTACCTCTTCATTAATTTGAAATAAGGGAGGCTAATGAATAGCCATGAATAGACAGGTTCCTTCATCCCCTGAAACTATTTTTTTTTCTTCTTCTTCAGAGCTTGATTCCCAACCAGTGAGGAACGCCTTCTTCTTGCCTTTGTTTCTGTTGTTGAAAGTTTCTGGTTTTCTATAAGTTTGAGCCCTTATGTTACTTGGACAACTTACAATAAAGTGACCAAATTTTCCACATCCAAAACTCTGACCCTATGACTGTCCTCTTTTCTTGAACTTGAACTTCTTGAATTTCTTAGCTAGATAGGCTACTTCATCATCAAATAAGTCACCATAAGATATTTGAACTTCTTATTCCACAGTTTCCTTAGCCTTTAGAGCAGCTTCTTTTCTATATTGAGTCTGAACACCAATCCTCATCTCATAGGCAGTCAAGGAGGCTTGCAAATCATCAATAGTCATTTTGGATATGTCCTTATCTTCAAGAATAGTCACTTTTGGATTGAATCTAGGTGTTAGTGACCTGAGTATCATTTTGCACACTTCTGAGTCCTTCATGTCTTCACCAAGAGCTCTAATATTGTTGATAATCGTATTAATTCTAAACATGTACTCTACCACATTTTCCCTCTTTTCCATTTTGGATCATTCGTATTGAACCTTAAGAAGTGGAATCTTGTTCTCCTTAATAATATTGTTTCCCTCATGAGCAGCTCTTAAAGAATCCCATATTTCTTTTGCAGCTTTATAATTTTTCACTCTAGTGAACTCCTGTTGCTTTAATGCACAATACAGATCATACTTCGCTCTGCCATCATTTGATAAAGCTGTTCTGTCTACGGTTGAGGGGTTATTGGGATCGAGCACAACAATTCCTATTATAGCAGCTTGCCAAACCTCATAGGCTTGAGACATTAAAAATGCCTCCATCATAATCTTCCATGAGTCATAGTCTGTCTCATCAAATCCTAGAGCTTTGTTAATAGCCTGACCTTTATCTGCTATGATTTATGACCTTTTTTACAGGTGGTGAAACCTGACACAAGTAGACCCTGCTCTGATACCAATTGAAGATACCCAAAGGGGGGTGAATTGGAATCTTATAAGATTTCTGTAACTTTTTATCTTAAAGCACAGTGATGGAAACTCAAATGAAATGCTAAGATTGTCTCACACCAGATATACGAGGTAAAACCCCCAGTGTGGGGGAAACATCTTCGGGGCTGTGAAACCTAAATCGTAAACCACTATGAATAAAAAAGAGTACATCAACTCTCAATCTCACTCACCAAACTCACATACAAGCCACTCTTGCACTCTCCCGTGTCCACAACACCCTATGTTAGGACCACTCACCAATCTCACAACAATCACTCCAGCACTTCCCATGTTCACAGTAACCCAATGCTTGAACCAAGAGCTCACCAAATTACTCAACAAGAAAATATAATACAATGATGGTGTTCTCTCAAGTTTTACAAGATAAAAGTTAAATAGACATAAAACTTGAAAGATAGATTTCACAGCCCTTACATGATAAGCAATGCACACCACTTCTGGATTTGATCATCTGTAAATTAGTCCAGTAAATAATCCTTTTGATTTGTTAAGAAAAACACCCTTGTATTTTCTCCCAAACTCACTGTTGCTCACTATTGAACCTACTAAGTTTATCAATTTCAAAGCTTCAAAGCTTTGACCGAAGATGGTGCTCGTTTGAACGGAGATGGACTGAAACTTGCTTGAAACTGCTTCTGTAGAGTAAACTACACCGGACCGGATATAGGAACTTTGTGAAGTTCGCCAGAACAATTTAGATTATGCCACTTGCTAGGTACGACTGAAACTCACTAGTGGTTGGAGCTTGTGATTTGTTCACTGGAACTTGACTACAAACTTAGAGATTTGCCGAACTGGTACGCTGTTATCTGGTATCACTGGACTGAGTGTGTCTATCACCGGAATAATGGAAACGGTTTTGAATGTCACCAGAATGAGGTCTTCACGCTGATAGAGATTTTGGCTCGCTGGTGTGAACGCTGTAGCTCTTCGGTGTTGTCACTGTGGCTCTCCGGTGATGGGTTCTTTAATAGAGCTTCGGTCAAAATGGGTCTTCACCGTTGCTCCGATTTAGACTACAATCAGGCTCACTCTTTTGATGTTCGTCTTCAAGCTCTTTGAAAATAGTCTATAATCAGTTTTTGAGAGCTCACTCTAACAGATGCACACCTGATCTGTATATATATCTCTGAACTATGAAGCCGTTAAAGAGAGAAAGCACCAGCTTATTACAGCCACACAAAAGCTATCCAAGCAATGAATTAATCATAGCCCTTGACTTCAAATAAAAGCTGACCAAATAACTTATGGCCGTTAGATTCTTTAGTTAACAAATCATATACTCTTATATAATAAGCTTCATTTAACAACAGCTAGCAAACATTCTATGTCCTGGATATTGAAGTATGTGGAATTAATGGATATAAAAGACACTTGGTTATCCTTGCAATACATTTGCATACACGCACATGGACTAAAAGAAATAGTGAAACAATTGTTAGTGCACACCTGATAATAACATATAAATATAGCTAAAATAATACCCAACAATACTTAAGATAAAAACGAGATGTTAGTAAAACTGATTTTACATTAAATGAGCAAACATGATAGACCTATGGATCAACATTATTTATTTTTTTTTATCTTTTGTATTCTATGCTTGTTTATTACCTAATTGTTTTGATATTTCCCTCGGTTTTGTGTGCGGAATTGATTGACGCATGTTCCGGAATCGAGGGACATCACACATGAATGAAATCGTGCATTTTAAAAATTAATATTCACATGCTATACAATTCTGTTAATTTACCCAAACATGCTCATCATCATCATCATCTTCATCATCATGTATATATGCATATTCTCAAGAAAACAACTTAAACACATAGCATGTTTTTCAACAATTTGCCTTCACATACACTAGTAACACCATCTTTACACATAATTTCATCACATAGCACATATATCATGCTTGACAAGAATCAAAACATGGAAACTCAAAAAGAAGGCAAAACAAAATACTTTAAACATCCCTACCGCACAAGTAACTCGGAGCTTTTAGATCCCGAACTTGAATCTTACCAAATGCATGCAAAACCGGTGTCAAAACGTATCCCTCATCGAGTAGAACAACTTTGTCTCCTTGGGCTTCTCTCAAATCTCACCCTAAGGCTTCCAAAATATGGATTGAAACTTTGGTGTATATAGATGTATAACGAGAGAGAGAGAGAGAGAGAGCAAATGTAAAGAGACAGAAAGAGAGAGTTAGCTAAAATTGAGAAGAAGAATGGGGTGCCAAACTTAAAAATGAATGTGTGGCCTTTATTTGGCTACTTGTCAAATGGTGGTTCTTTGTTGCTAAAGTTACCCACATGCTTTTTCATGTGCCATTGCAAAAACAACTAAGCCCTCCAAAATATCTTCTCCCATTGACCACATACATATACACCCATATATATAAATAAATGTATGAAATAACATAATAAATAATTAAGTGGTAATATTTGGGGCCCACTTAGCGCATAAATTGAGGTATTAAAAATAATAAAAATACCAAAAAATTAGAAAAAATCTAGGACATTACATAGACGCTGACTTAGCTTCCATGTGGTTGCCATTTTCGGCAAAATCTTGGTCTTCATAAACAAGATCTTCCACGTCTTCATTAAGATCTTCATGTATGCTGGAACGATCATGATTTTCAGTAATAAAGGTTAGTGACTCGTTTAAAATAGTTGTCTCAACTGTGTAAGAGATTGGTGTGAAATTTTGGTAAGTAAAATATGCTCGTTCACCATGGAAAACGTGTGGATCTTGAAAGGAGACTTACTTCTAATTTTCAGCTCAATTTGCTGCAACAAAATCATGATTGATGAGTGCTGAAAAGTGCCCATTTAAACCCCTTAAGCTTAGGTATTCTAGGACCTTTATCTCTCTTACTTTCCCATTATAGACTAATTTCGTGTTATTGCCCTTTTCAGGCACTTATCCCCAAAATAAGTTAATTCAGCCAAATCAGAGCCTAAAAGAAGCAATCTCAAGTTGAATGGAAGAAAAAAACAAAGTGGAAACAGAATGAAACAAAATGTGGGAAATCAACAAGTTCGATTGATCCAACATTCCTTTGATTGATCAGAGAAAGATCGATCTAGACATTTCAAGATGGATCTAAGCCTTTGTCTTTATCCAAAAGATCTCATCATCTTCGATAGATCCAACCTTTCTTCGATCGATCGAAAATATTCGATCCTATCCTCACCTACCACTTTTGTCTCTTCCCCAAAATATCTCAAAGATTTGTCTTTATTTAAAAAGGCGTCGCCAAGGATGATCGATCTCTGCAGTATTCGATGGATCTCAGCAATGTTCGATCGATCTCAAGACAGTTCGATCGATCGAACCTCCTCAAGTCCGAAAAAAATAAGTTCCAGCTCATTAAAAGTTGGCTCATGGTGCAATCGATTTAAGGACCATAGTGCACGAATCCAGGCCATTGGGTGTGACACTTGAGCCTCCTAAATAAGGATTTTGAGCCTCTTTTACATCATATACCATCATAACTCATAGGAGAGAATATATCTCATATCTTAGAGAGGACGCTAGAGACTAGAGAGTGAGCTTTTACACATCTTTGGGAGTTCTTCCATTCTTCTAGGGTTTCCTTCAAGAAGGAAGTCAATTTCTACCATGGAAATAGCCCTTGAGGGTTGGAGGACTACTTTAATGAGTGGCTAAATATCTTATTGGGGCTAGAGTTAGCCCTAAGCATGCCTTCTAGACTCTAATGCTTTGTATTTTGAGGGGATTTATGTTGTAATCTTGTATTGACATTTATTTTACATATGAATCTTGTTTATTCAATGATTTGTGTGGTTTAATACTTCCAATTAATCATTTCATTCTATCCATATGTCTATGTATGCTAGAATAGATGTTCATGTGTTTATCTTTAGTTTTTGTGTTATTGATGCATGTCTATGTGTGTTGATGCTATAGATCTAGAGATTATCAAGGTATAGTGCTTAATAGAATACTATTGTGGTTTATTTGATGGTTCATACTCATGTCTTGATGGGTTGTGCCTCTCCCTTAGTTTCTTTAGTTTAATTTTCATGCCCTTAGCTTAGTTGTAGTGCAGTTGCCTTAGTTGTTAGATGGGAGGATAATCTATGCTTATTATTTGATGTTCCATGCTTATGAATGCAAGTAGTATTATTCTCTAACTATGTGATGTGTTTGGATTGTGAGCTTAAAGGAAGGATTAATGGCTTACTTTGATGTATTGTGCTATTCACTAGATTTCTTAGACAATATATGCTTAAGTGGTCATCCATACTTGTTGAAACAATCAATCACACACTCTCAAATTGCTACAATGTTTCCCTTCGTTAATTATGCATTGAATGTCTAGAATGGTGATGTTTAGTGGTGAGCTCTAGACCCTAAGACCTCACTTTCTTGGTTTCTCTAAATTTCATTTAAATTGCTTATGTTACATTGAACTTGTTTAGTTTAGCTTGTAGTTTAATCAACCAAACACACCATCTCTTGATCATTCGACCTACTAACCCTATACATTGTTTCCATAACTAGTGCACCCATAATCCCTTAGGACGATCCCTACTCACCTAAGCTATATTTTTAGTTAGAGGTAGTAGTGGCATTTATAAATTTAAAACTTGGCCACATTGCACTCACACACTCTTAGTGCACATCTTTTAGACATTGGTACGACGACACACCAAGTTTTGAGCGCCGTTGCCGAGGATTTAAATTGGCAACGCCATGTTTTGGAAACAAATAGGAATTAGTACTCTTTTGATCGTGTCTTTACTTTATTTTCATTTTTGTTACTTATTGTGTTTGTTCATATTTGATTAGGTGAATTGAGCAAAGGAAGTTGAGCAAAGGAGAATTCAAAGCAAGGAGCTAAGCTAAGCATAAAAAGGGCTAAAAATCTAAAAATTACAAAGCATAACAAGGCTTGAAAATTGAAAATATATTGAAGTTGCTTAAGGACCCTTTGTGAGATTTTTCAAACTCAATCTTTAGTTAAATCGTCGGCCCGTGTGGTGGCAAGTTTTTCAATTCTTAGATAAATCGTGAGCCCGCGTGGAGGCAATTTACTTTTCTTTGCATGTTATTCAAGCATGGGAGTATAGGATCAATGTATGTGGAGAATGTTCGTTGATTGATTTGTTGCGGGGGCGAAGTGATTGTTATTTGCTTGTTATTTGTTTAGCTAGTGTATCCATGGTCATAGGTCATTAAATCCTACTCTTGTCCCTCCTAATTTGCATCTTGAATCGGTTGTTCGTAATCCTAGGGGAAGAGGTAGTTTTCATCACTCCATTTCACCAATAGAGGAATTGAATAACGACCATGTGGAGGACCTTGGTCACATTGACCAACAAGGCATCCTCCACCCTAATGTGCATCATGAAAATATTCAAGTACCATTACGCATGCCTAGACCATTCATTCCACCACAACAAGAAGGCCAAATTTTATTGGGAATGCCTCGGCCAATTTTTGCTCCACAACCTCCTATTATGCAAGGCAATCAAGGTGTCCAAGTAGCACCGCCGGTTGTAAATCCTACCATTGCTTTAAGAGACCATTATGTGCCTAATGAATATAATGCACCCATTTGCATTTAATTGCCCCCATTTAGAGCACATCACTATGAGATTAAATCGCAAACCATTCAAATGCTTCCCAACTATCATGGACTTCCAAGTGAAGAACCTTACAAGCATTTGGATGAGTTTCTTGAAGTGTGTTCCACCGTGAAATACACGGACATGCTTGAAGAGGTTTTAAGACTTAAACTTTTTCCTTTTACCTTTAAAGACAAAGCAAAATATTGGTTCAACAATCTTAGGCCTTTCTTGATAACTTCTTGGGCATAAATGTAACAAGAGTTCTTAAAGAAGTACTATCCGGTTTCTAAGACCTATGCCATGAGAACTTCCATTCGTGAATTTTTCAAGGGGATAGGGAAATGTTTCATGAGGCATGCGAAAAGTTTAATGACTTGCTTAGGAAGTGCCCACATCATGACATACCTAAGTGGTAATCAGTTCAATATTTCTTTGAAAGTTTGCCGGATAGTCACAAGGGTATGGTTGATGCATCTATGGGTAGTTCTTACCTTGATAAACATGAGGATGATGTGTGGCAATTGTATGAAAGCATGAGTGAAAATTCAATGCATAGATCCTTATCTTCTAAAAATGGTAGTAATCTAGGTGAAAGGAAGAATGTTAGCTTATATCAAGTCGACAATTCCAATGACATAGCTGCTGAGATGAAATCCTTATCTCAAAGGTTTGATCAATTTTTGATTAACCAAACTTCGGCGAATCAAGTATCTTCCTCCCCTAATCATGTTTGTCATCGTGCATCCAATGAATCATATATGACTTGTTCAAGTGTTCTACATTCTACTTCCAATTGTCCCTATGGACATGTGCCAAGTGAAAACCATGAACAAGTCAATGCTACATTTGTCAACCAAGGGAATAATCCCTATGGCACTCATTACAATTCAAGTTGGAGGAACCATCCAAATTTCTCTTGGAAAAACCAAGGGGAAGGCTCAAACCCTCCCCAAGGTGGTTTTCAAAACAAGTATATTCCACCTCCAATGCAAGGCCAAGGTTCCCAAGGTTTTAGATCATCATCATTTTAATCGCATGGTAATCAATTTTCTAATTCTCATTTTCCTAACCATTCGTCATATTCTCAAGGAAATTTTAGGAGTCCCGCTTTTGAGGAAAAAGTGTTGACCGCTCTAGGTACTCTAGAGGCGAACACTCAATTGCTTCATTCCCATTCCCAATCCATTACTAAGCTAGAAACCCAAGTAGGGCAAATAACTAGTACTTTAAATGCTAGAGAGAAAGGGAAGATGCCTTTGAATGCACCACCAAAGCAACAATGTATTGTGGAGACTCATTCCTCATCGGAAGGGCACACAATCGAGCATGTTAATGCGGTGACAACCTTAAGGAGTGGGAAGATTGTGGACAACCAAGTGAGTATGTCCAATGAAGAAAGTGAACCGGTGCAACCAAAAGTTGACACCCGTCCCGTTTCTCATCATATTCCTCCTTCATTGCATATGCATAATCATCATATTGAGAAAGTGTTGAAAAATGATTTGAAAGATAAATTAAAGTATGATTTGAAAAATTCTTGTGTTGATGATGTTTTAAAGAAAGTTTTTGAAAAAGATTTTGAGCCAAGAGCTCCATTTCCGAATGCCT